CTTGCACAGTAACATACTATAACGATGCATTTGCTGCTTGATGAAGCCATGCAAAACGTTCTGATCAATGAGGTATAAGAGGAAATGGTCACTTCTAAGAACACTCCTTAGGTGACCACTGCCTCTGTTTTCTACCACTTGAGCCACAGTGCCCCTTCTGGTTTTCTGGTGGTTAATTGGAGATAAGAGAGTCTCACAACCTTTCCTGCCCAGGCTGGCTTTGAACCACAATCCTCAGATCTCAGCCTCCTGAGTAGCTAGGATTACAATTGTGAGCCACCAGTGCCTGGAGTATACTGGGTTTGAACTCAAAGTCACAGGATTGCTAACTATGCATTCTACCACAGAGTCACACCCAGCCCTTTTGCTCTTTTTAATTTTCAGAGTCTCTCATTTTTGACCAAGCCAACCTCACACTGTGGATTTCTAGATCCACATTCCCAGTGACAGGGATTGAAGGCACGAGCCACCACACCCAACTTGTTATTATTGAGGTTTCGGGTAGCTCCTTGCCTGGAATAGCCTGAAGCCACTACCTCCTATCTTCTGCTTTAAGTAACTGGGATTAAAGCTAGGACTTCCTCCAAATTCTTTACAGTATTCTTCTAAAGTCCTATAACCATAATGCGGTTAAGAAGCTCTTTTATATAACTTCAATTCCTTTATATATCACTTTCATAATAACAATTTTTTAAGGGAATTCTTGATGGGAAGTGGAGCTGTGGCTCAAGTAGTAGGGCAGTAGGCTTGAATTCAAAAGCTCAGGAACAGTGATCAGGCCCTGAGTTCAAGCCTCAGGACTAGCACAAAAAAAGAAAATATATTGGGTTGGGTGGATAAGACTTATATAACTTTTAGTTCATTAATTTTTCTGCTTTCTTTTATACATGAAGTATCTAATTCTCCATTTAGAATATACACCCACACCATTCCTACCACTCACTAACTTCAATCAGATTGAAAGAGTTATTTAAGGACTAAAGACTTAGTTTCAGCTGGGCGCTGGTGGCTCACACCTGTAATCCTAGCTTACTCAGAAGGCTGAGATCTGAGGATCGCAGTTCAAAGGCAGCCCGGGCAGGAAAGTCCTTGAGACTCTTATCTCCAATAAACCACTAGAAAACTGGAAGTGGTGCTGTGGCTCAAGGGGGTAGAGCGCTTGTCTTGAGCTGAAGAGTGCAGGGACAGTGCCCAAGCCCAGAGTTCAAGCCCCACAACCGACCAAAAAAAAAAAAAAAAAAGACTTAGTTTCCTGGTAGAAATGTTTAAAAATTTAAAAAAGATAATGCATGCCTGGCATATAGCAAGCATTCTACGAAAGTTAAGTGTTACTTTCAGTATACTTAAAAAAAATACTTGAGGCAAACTCTTTGAGGACAGGAAACACGTCTACCCAGAAATGTTATTATTTCATTGTTACAACCCAAATCCATTGGTTCTTCACACTGCAGGCACACAATAGCTGCATGATAAATTCAATTGAATGGAACCTTTTGTGTTGAATCCAATTTTCCCTGGGAGGAAGCAAAAGAGATCCTCATTATGAATGAACACTGAATTCTTCGACACAGAACAGTAGACTCAAGACATATATTCTTCCCGACTGCTTGGTGGGAAGTCCAGTGCTTCAGGAGTGCCCCCTCAGTTCAGAGAAGACCACGGTGCCCATCCCCCTGCGGATGGGCCGGGCCACGCGAACCCCGCCCCAGGCCTTCCCCATCATGGCCTTCTGTGCCCACTAGCAGCCAACTTGCTAGGAGTGGCTGAGGCCTAGAAAAGATGGTACCTGAGCGTATGTATCCTGGACAATGTCCTGATTTAGAGCTAGTTTTCCCATCTGTGATGGATTCCATCTCTAAGACTGGGCTGAGCTGGGAGAGAACTCTAAGTCAGTGCTAACAGGTGAGAGAGGTTCAGCCAGCCGAGAGAGAGAGGCGGCCGGTGACCCCAGATCCAGCCCTGGGGTGGCCTCTGTGATATCATCTGCAGTGGGGAGCCTTGGAACAACGAAAGCTTTGTTTTAAAGAAACTTTTCAAATACAGGTATTTGCATGAAAGCATCCCTCTTCCCTTCTAGATAAACTAACAAAAGCCCAATTCAAATGAGGACCTATTCCTCTTGCCACTCCTTTTAGTGACTAGAAACAGTTAACAATCCTAGTTTGTTTTTTTTTTAATGATCATGAAAACACAACTCAGAATCCCATGTTCTGTCTCCCTCTCTTAACTCCACGAAGGTGTCATACAGTGCCAGCGGCCCTAACATAGGAGACAGACCACCACCAGGCACCCCAAGGACAAAGAAGTGAGCAGGGAGGAGATCAAGCTGGCTTCTGCAGATTCAGTACAGATAGAGACATCCCAGATAAGAAATGCAAACTAGCCAGACTGAGAACAAATAGCCCCTAGGCCAGTGAGAGTAGATAGTAAGCTGATTAAATACATTAACATATCTAAAGGGGAAGAAAAACACATTTCACTCTCTAAAGGCAGCAGATCCCTTAAGATTGTTTAGGAAAACGGGAATGTTTGGAGCAAATGCTAAAGGTGTCTACCTGGAGACCCTGCCTCGTCTCTAGTGGAAGGTAAAGGTTTACTTAATTCTTTATTTACCAGATTTTGACAAGCTAGTAGACTTGCCCAAGTATTTTAATAAGATCACAGGGAGAGGCTGCCTGTGGAAGGCTGGTGTTTTGACAATTATGCTTGTGAGGTTGAACCACAGAGCAGATCCCAAAATAATGCCACCTAAAGCAATAGAAGATTTCCAGCCTGCCTCAGCCAGGCCTCCCAACTCCAATCTTGAGGTGGCATTCAGCTTTGCTTCCTCCTGAAAATTTCCCATCAGCCTGGACCCCAAAGTTCAGCTGATGATTATGCTCTAAGATGTTTGACTGTAAACATGTCATTTTTCCCCTATTCAGCAGCATTGTTAATCAAAAACATGCAAATTGGAAAAAAATTGGCACAAGGTATAAGTTCAACGGTGTTCTTATTTTCTGCTGGTGTGTGAATAAATTGGAAACACTCCAAAGGTATAGAAATACATACACCTCTGGCGCAGCAGCTTTCGAGGAATTTCATCTTACTTAATTAAGGATATGATGGGTTATAGAGTAGTTCCTAGTAGAGATGAAATAGAAATACATAGAAATCTGGGGATAGTCAACATTTGGGATTGATTAAGGAAATATCTCTGATCCAATATTATACTGACCTTTGCAATATGTCACAGAAGAACATGTACTGTCTGGAGGGGCCACTCACAGTGTACTTTTATTTTCTAGTTTTTGTTGTTGTTGTTTAGTCAAATAACTGTATTTTTGTTTTCTTTCCCATTGATCACTATAGCAGTCCTGGGTTTGCATCAGAGCTAAGAGCCAGCCCACTGTCATGAAGAATAGAATCTAAAGTTTGGAAGAAAGTTGAAACATCCAAGTTCTTTCTCCATGTGACAAGAAATGGCACAAGTAGGTTCTGTAGCTTGAGGCACCTCTCCAGAGGCAGCGAACCTAGTACTAGAAGCTTATTTCTGTGCAGCATTCCTGCGAATTCCAGATTATAGCAAACGCCCCTCTCCACACTCTCCATGTCAACTGTCCCCCTCCAGCTATGTTTCAACTGAAATAATGGAGCAACATCGTTTCTCATGATCTCTTTGTGACTTATGCACAACAGTAAGAAACTGCAACTCCAGGGGCTGGGAAGGTGGCTCAGTGGTAGAGCGCTTGCCTTGCATGCATGAGGCCCTGGGTTCGATTCCTCAGCACCACATAAGCAAAAAGAAAAAAGCGGAAGTGGCGCTGTGGCTCAAGTGGTAGAGCGCTAGCCTTGAGCTGAAAGCTGAGGGACAGCGCCCAGGCTCAGAGTTCAGGCCCCACAACTGGACCCCTCCCCCCAAAAAAAAAGAAACTGCAACTACAAAATACATCCTATGAAACACCAAGCTTCTCTCAAACAATGAACTGCAGACATGGGGAGCAGAGAAGAGGGATGGTGACAATAAAAGCAAAGTTCTACTATGTAATTTGGACTTCCTGTCTTTTCCTCCACACAGAGCCCTTGTATTTGCTTGCTGTGCTGGCTAGACTGGGGCTCCACTACTTAAGCCATACCTCCAGCCCAGATTTTTGCCAGTTATTTTATTTTTTTTAATTGGGAAAATTGTATTTTTTTTCATTTTTATTTATCTTTAGTTGTAGAGGATTTCAATTCCACCTGTCAATTTGTGACTACAATGCATCTGATCAATGTCACCTCCTTCATCATCCCCCCATGTCTCCCAACCCCACCCATCCCAAGTTACCTAGCTCGTTTTCACATATGTACATTGAATACATGGACTCCGTTCACCCACACTTCCTCTCTCCATTTGTCTGCCCCCTTCCCTTGGCCTCCTCTCCTCATACAAAATACGATTGAGCTCCCTGGAATTCATTTTGTTAAACTGTAAGTTCATTGTTCCAAGGTGATACAGCATTGGAATCGACCCCTTGCCTACGTTAGACAATACACTTGTGTACATAGGCATATGATCGTGTGGTTATTCTGGGGATGGAGTCTATAGAGCTTTTCTGCCTAGGCGGGCTTTGAGCGTTGCTCCGCTTGATCTCAGCCTCCTCAGCAGCTAGGGTTATGGGTGTGAGATACTGATGTCTGCCTTATGGTCATTTCCCAATTGTGACCGTTCCTCATTTCACACACTCCCTTCTGTGACTCTGGATGGGTCTCCAAGGAGACATTTGTTGAAGAACTGCAGTTAATACGGCCATACAGACCTTACATCTTCACCTACCACAGCTGATTTCCCTCAAGCCGAGCGTCTGGAGATTTTGCTAGGAAAGGGGACAAAGCTGCTGCTTCTCTCATGAACACCCGTCAAAGGGAAAAGACTTGAAGAGGCTGCCTGTCCCTGGCCTACCAGCTCAGCCTCCACAAACAGGAGCAAACCAGCACTGTGACGCACAGGGGTGCCCCAAAGGGGTAAGGGCCTTACTTACGGACACACATGTCTCTGCTTTCATAAAAGCCCGGGCAGCACTGGGATTTGCGCCGGTACATGGTTTTCTCCCCATGGCGATAGGCTGTCCGATAACTGATTCTACATAAAGGAAACAAATCACATTATTAGTTCTGCTGATCAGCAACTGGATTGGACATAATTTCTAGTTTATGGAAGAAAGAGCCGGATGGATACTAGTCCACGTAACTAAAAGCATCACAGCCACTGATTCAAATGCAAGTTTGTTCTTTTCTGTTAGTGGCACCATTCTAGGCACTGAGAACACAGCAGTATGCTAAATAATTTAGTTTTTCTCTTGCAAGGAACTTAGTTGGCTGGGAAAGACAGATCTGGTTACATTTGTTGAATACACACACGTAAAGCTACCAAACTGACTCGCAAATATCATCCTAGCTACTCAGGAAAATGAATCTGGGATGACTAAGATTCGAGGTCAGCCAGGGCTAAAACTTCTCAAGACTTCAATTCAACCATGAGCTGGGTACAGTGGCATGCATCTGTCCTTCCAGCTATTTGGAAAACTGAGATAAGGAGGCTCATGGTCTCAGAATAGCCCTGGCAAAAGGGCTTGCAAGATTCCTATCTCAACAAAAAAGCTGGGCATGGTGGCATGCATCTGGCATCCTGCTATAGCAGAAAGTTGCGAATTGGGGCTAGCATGGGTCCATACTAGACTGGGAAAAGAGTAAGACTCAATCTCAAAATTAACTAGGTTTGATACATGCTGGCAATCTGGCTTACGGCTAGGACAGTGGCTATCCCTCAACCACTGTGGGCTAATGCATGAATGCATTTTCTCAGGTGACTGATACCTCTGAATGCTAGACCCCATTGCCAGGCAGCCACCCTCGGCCAGGTCTGAGCTTCTGTTACCTGTGCCTCGTGCATTTAAACCAGTTTAAGATGTCAGTGCAGCTGGTGTAGTAGATCTGATCGAAGGGATGTGGGTAGGACTCTTGCACAGTCACAGAGTAGCTGGAAAGAAATGGAAGAAAATGGAATCAGTGTTTCTCCTTTTACATTAATGATAGAATCTGGAATGAAAAGCAACTGAAGACTAAATTAATTTCATTTATAGCTCCATATCGTGTGTGTGTGTGTGTGTGTGTGTGTGTGTGTGTGTGTGTGTGTGTGTGTGGTACTGGAGAAACACAGACCTTGCATCCAACAGGCTTGCTACATCCCCAGCCCTCCGTACTGATGTACATAGAATCATGCTTTTACAGGTCTTTGAAACTAAAACACATACACATACACATACACACACACACACACACACACACACACACACAGATCCATATTAATAAGATAGTTAAAGAGTTCATGCTAAATATTTCAAAGGAAATTTCTTTCACTCTTCATTATCAACCCTAATGTTCCCAAGTGTCACTATAATTTTTTCTTTATTTACGCTTCTTTCCCTCATCCTAGGGCTCTAGGGATAATAAAGACCTTTTACAGAAAGCTGCTACTCTGCATGCACATAATCAGGTTACCCAGTAAAGAGACAATTGGAGTATTTATAACAGAGTACATTTTGCTACTGATTTTGAAAACTCAGAATGAACACATTTCTCTTGTGGGACTTTGGAATCATTTGCTTTCATGTGCTTGTCCTACTTCTTGGGCAGTAGAAGAATACACACTGCATCGAAGTAAAAGAAAAAAAAACTATAGGAAGTTCTTTAAACAAGGTTCTAAACATAACGGCCAGTCACTTGAAATACTCATAGCAATGGTTTGCCACTACTTAAACATTCTATTTTCTATTACAGTTCCCCAATAGCTTCTTGTTAGAGAAAAGACATGCAACTCTGTGGGCCTGGGTTAGGTGAGAGGAAAATGTCCATGAAATATGAAGAACGGTCAATGCTGTACTCCATAACTTTCAACAGTCTAATGCATACTCAGGAGCTTAATATCTGCCTACAGGAAACCCCAGAGAATCTTCTTCCCTACACAATTATTCTATTTGCTTTCAATCTCTAAATGAGTTCTACTAAAATCTTCACATTAACAGACAAAATGGGTCATACATATAACTCATTTGCAGCAAATCAATAGCCCAAGTTAATTCAATGGGAATGATGCCTAGAAACAGTATGGAAGAAATGAGGAGGGTGAAACACTAGCATGAAGAATTGAGGTAGACATAGTAGAGAATCTGGTGCTCGCCCCACAAACGGTAGGGTCTTTTCTGTTGCTGGTCTCTCATAGTTGTTGTACTTAGGGTTTTGATAGGTGATACAGGAGACAATCCCACTTTTCATATTTTTTGTGTTTTGTTTGTATCGTTGATAGATTGTCATTTGATATCACCCCATACATGAGTGGCAGAAGACACAGGCCCAACTGAGATCACTGAGTTAGGAGAAGATAAGGTGGTAATTTTTGGTCAAATGCTAAAAATCGGAGTGGATGTCAGCAAAGAGCCTCACTTCCCTGAGTCTTGATTATTTCATTTTAAAATGTGAGGGTGAGAGATGATGTTGAAGAAGGCTTTTCTATTTGACATTTTAAATGACTACCTTTTATGACCCAATGGATGACCCCAGATGCTCCTTGAAAATACATGTTCAAACAGGGGTAGAGCAGACAGCTGCTTGTATTCTGCCAGATAACCTGTCTTGAGCTATATAGGACTAAATTTTAATGTTCTTGGAATGCCATGTTGCATGAACACTTTCTTCAGAACTTCAGTGGTGACCTGAGGTTCAGACTGGGGCAAAGGCCAAGACTCCTTGCCAATATTTTTTTTTCTTGCTAAGCAGCTGCTTATACATAACCAGATCTTGAGGTCTTCAGTATTCTATCCCTGTTACATTTCTAGTGGAGAAGAGTGATCATCTGCTAAGTGTGGGAGAGCTACACAGGTCAGGTCCTAGATGACATCTAAGCTCTATGAGAATGAAAAGAACCCACACTAAACTAATACCAGTTAGGCAAAATACACATGCTACAAGGCTCCACATGTGAAGTAAATTAGTTAGAAGCAGACCTGATGTGAGAATCTCAGGAAATTGCAAAAGCTGTGTTATGATCTTCAGGTCTATTGATCAATGGAACCTGGACAATTTTATTTGCAGTGGGTTGGGGAATGGATTCCATAACCCAATGAAAAACTGTTTTCACTCATTTCTACCAACTAGGAAGATGCCTTTCATAAGAGGAAATGTTAGAGTACATTAAATTTCCTCTTCCTGCCACTTACCGCTCACCAATAATGTACACTTGCAGGATGCTGTATGGGTAAAGATAAAAAGAGGCTCTTCTGTATAAAAGAGTCATCAAAATAGTATTCTAATTAAACAAGAATTTGGAGCAAATACTATGCAGTTCTAGCCCTCAATGAGCCTACTACCTGAGAAAGGTCAAGGCATAAATGGTTAATATAACCTGCTATGGCTCTGGAGTTTGTGGCCCAGGGGTCAAGTACTTGCCTAGCAGGTGTATAGACCTGTTCCATCCCCAGCACCATACACACACACACACACACACACACACACACACACAATAAAAACAAAGATAAAGTTCTATGTGTGGGGATAGTAGAGTATAAAATCCACTATGTTGAACAGTTCTCCTCAATGTTGACTTTCTCATTACAATTTTCACAATAAAGCCCCCTTCAGAACTGACTGAATATACAGTGCTTTCTACATTCATCAAAAACGGATCCTTTCAGTTTGGTTTGTGAGAGAAAGGTGCTAAGTCTTTTCAACTCAAATTTCTTTTCTGAATCAGTTAATTTTTACACTTTTTTTCCCTTTCCATATAGTCTTTCTCTCCTTTTCCTTTTTTTAAGAGCATTGTTAATCATGTTAATAAATTTGGAAAACAAATATCAATAGCAGTTTGTTTATCTTTGCAGGGTCTCGTTTCTTTGAAGTTTTTTTTTTTGTTTTGCTTTGCTTTGTTTATTTTTTTGTGCTATGAATGTGCCATGCATATACTTCTGAAATGTTGTGGGGGTTTTGGCCATACTGGAGTTTGAACTCAGGGCCTTACTCGTGTTAAACAGGAGCTCTCCCAAGTAAGCTACATCTCCAATTGCTTCTGAAACATACCAGCATATCATTATCATTATTCCTATGGTAGTAAACAGTCTTCAAATTATGACTGCCAGATACTTTTGTAAGTGATTACACCTAATTTGCCAATAAGCACCCATCCTCAGAAAATCCGGTTGCCACTTTTTAAGAGGCCCGTTTGTATCGTGCAAGAAAACTTTTTGAACAGGGCTGCCTCTTCTGAGCGCCGTAAACTGCAGCTTTGGCAGGTGTCTAGCTGCTCCTTAAACTTCAGTAGCTCCACCGATAACAGTCCATGGTCATTGGCAACTGCTCTAGACGTCTTCAGGTGGGAAGAAGGCACCTCTCCGCTGCCTGGTCTACTTCGTTTCCATCACCAGTGAGCAGCATTGAACTTCCGGTGCCAGGCTGTCTGGAGTCATCAAGAGTCCCAGCACCTCCAGACACTCTTACGCCTCTGATCCCCCACCCAGATATACTACAGGCCTTTCAGAACCTCCAACATAAAACAAAAAGGCATTTAATCCCAGTTCTGCACAATTTTCGCCGTTGGGATGCAAACCCCTATATTTTCTGCTTGTTTGTTTAATCCTCTCAAACACACTAAAAACATATCATCATCATGATTTTATCCTCTTAAGTGTTATCGGGGAGAAAACCCAGCAAGATTTAATTTAAGGTCAAAGAACCGGAGGTGGTGGGAGGGGAGCCATCAGCACTTGGCCACATTCCAGAGTGGTTAATTACATTTTATCTGACTAAATTATCTTGTTACTTTAATCAGCTATGGTAATAATCGTCATTTCTTATCTTGGCTCGCTTCAGGACTGCTGATTCAATTACTACCGCTTCTATATCAGTAAGTGAGGGTTAAGCGAAGAGCAGCTTCTCTTCTTTTGTGAGGTCTTGAGAGGAATTCCTGCTATCTGGGCAAGTTTAACCTTTCAGAATAGATTAAAGGAGTGGGGAGAAGGGACCAATGACTCCCAGAATTATACATCTTCCTAAAGATTCTCTGCAGAGATGCTTTCATTACTAAGGCCTCCTTCGTTTGTAATGATTTAATTTGATGCTTTTTCATTTAATTTTATGTACAATTTTTTTTTGGAATCATGCTTGCTGCATTAAAACAAGGCATGACTTTATTGAAAAGAAATGTCCGGATATCAGTAGGGATGCAGCTAGAAGGCCTTCTGCCCTGTTCTCACTCCCAGACGCAAATCCAGACTCAAAATCACTGCAAATAGATTCAGAGTAGGAACAAGACTGTGGACACTTCATTCTAATTGAGATGGACTTTTTAGTGTTTTCCCTGGACCTTCTTATTGGACCTGTTTCAGAATTAGATATATCTCATTTTTTACATGATTTGTATGTATGCATATATCAACATATGTTCCCTATATAGAATATATATCCTATAATGTATATGTAATATGATTAATAATATACTATTATATATATTCTATAAGTTGCATAACACCACTCAATATTCCCAAAGACGTTGACAGAAAGCCACTTTGCCATCTCTTCTCCATGTCTAATGTTCCTCAGGTTGATGCTGATCAACACGCAGGCGGCCTCTCCTCTGGCCTCTTTCAGGACTGTTACCTTTCCCAGTGGCTGCACACATTGGGGTCTTCAAGATTCAAAGGCGATGCCTTCCCAATCCAGTAGCACAACAATAAGCAGATAAAGCCCAGGCATGACTCCATTTTTCCTTTTTGAAGAACAATCTGAAACAAATCAAAAGAGGCGCATTAAAACACTCATCTGAATTCTTTGCAGTAGAACAAGTACTCAGTCCCAGTCCTCACTTGGGCAGAAATATGTGAAACAATCCATGCATTGATGTAGCCAGGGCCACCAGATTTCCTAATCCATGAGAGAAAGGTGTTTCTCATGTTGTTCGGGATGCTGGCTGTTTTGTAAACGACTACAATGTGCAGATCATCACTGACACCACCACAAAAGCCCTTCTCAGCCACGCCAGCTGACATGAAAGCAATCGCCCAGAACCACACACAGCAACACAGGCCTCCAGATCCCTTACCAGGCATCTTTCCTTCTGGAGGAAGAAAGCCTGCAGAGGAATCTAGCCTCACTGGTCCCAGAAAACGAATGAGGAAACAGAAGCTCCTTTGAGTCTGGAGAGGGGCAGCTGAGACTCACACTGAGAGTTTGGTCAACATGTTCCAAATGCCTACCTGATCCCAAACAAATAACCAACTGTACAAATTACCAGCGAGTCCTCCCTGCCCACTGAGATGCTGAGAATTTAGTAATCATGACACAAATTTATTAAATATAGGTTCTATTCTCTCTACTGCTGAATAGGAACAAAATACACTATCTTAGCATACATTCTTTAACAGATAAATAAAGGGTCAGGCATGGTGGTATATACCTGTAATCAAGCTACATACATGGAAGAGAGAGTTAGAGGATTGTGGTTCAATGCTATCCCAGAAAGAAAAAAGAAAAGAAAATGAAAAATCTAGTGACACACTCTTCTAACAAATAAGAAAGGCATACATGGTGGGTCATGTCTGTAATCCCAGCTACATGGAAGGGGGAGATAGAAGGGTCGCTTTTGGAGGCTATTCCTGAGGAAAAACAATGCAAGACCTTTTCTGAAAACAACTAACATGTAATTTAAGTGTTATAACTCTTGGGCAGAAAATACAACAAAGGTCCTCAACTCAAACTCCAGTATTGAATATATGTTGTTTAAAAAGGTGTACATAAAAAGTGTAAAGTATAAAGCTGTTGAATGATCCATGTCTGCGAAATTAAAGCATGAGGCTATTAGGGAAAAACAAATATCAATTTATCTGGGAGCCTGGAGAATGGGTAAGCTGGTCAGCAGACCTTCCAGAAGGATATTCCAAGTTCCAGGCACAGGGCTCGGGGGCAGCGGGGGAGAAGCAGGTGCATCAATAGAACTCCAATTAATTCACCTAACAGAAAGACAACAGCTAACTAAAGAGACTTGGGCATGTCACAACAGGCTATGTCCACCACTGCAACACATGAGCCTTCACTCGAAGATGAAGAGAACTAAAGTGTACACAGTGATTCTGGAAGAGAACTCTGGCTACACGGGGCAGACTGTGAGAGACACCAGTAAGATATCCCCAAGAGGAGTGAACCAAGAAACACACCTGGCTGGCAGGAGGAGAGGGACTCTGGGGAACTCAGGAGGTAGCAGGGCTTGACAGCTAAATGGAGGAGTTATGAGAGGAAAGACTTCCGCTCTAACCCAGTGGGGCACAATCAGCCTCTCCGTGTGATGGGAGTTGAGAAGCCTTCCTTCTCTCAAAGAAAAGCCCAGGTTAGGTTCCTGTGAGGTATTCAAGTGAAGCCACCTGTAAGCATTTATTAAACGTCTTCTGTAAGCCTGCCATTGTGCCGGGCATGTAATTTAACTGTTGGAATGCCAGGTACCTCAGAGGTGCACTTGTTCATTTCCTGGCACTTAGTAAGAAGGAAGAGCTTTATTGTCATACTGTGATATCACATAGCTATAAAAATGGACGTGGAATTAGACCTATCTGACCCACTGACCAATTACAAGGAAAGTAAATATCCCCAATCTGCCTCTTGTAAATGGGCCAGGAGATGAGACTTAAAGCAGTTGCATTCTGGGTGACAGCTGACATTTCAGAAGCTATATCAAGTTCTCACACCACCAAGTGACTGAGGTTTTAGTATTGAAGATCTAAATGTTCTGAATAGTGACTTTATGGTTTGAAAAGTTAGATTATTCTAAAACAAACAGCTGGGTGCCGGTGGCTCACGCCTATAATCCTAGCTACTCAGGAGACTGAGATTTGAGGATCACGGTTCAAAGCCAGCCTGGGCAGGGAAGTCCTTGAGACTCTTATCTCCATTAAACCGGAAGTGGCACTGTGGCTCAAGCCTTAGAGCGCTCACCTTGAGCTGAAGAGCACAGGGACAGCACCCAAGCCCAGAGTTCAAGCCCCACGACCAAAAAAAAATAAAAATAAAAAATAAACAGTAACAGCAAAAAAACTAAATTTAGAATATAGTTTATCTTTTAAATTCAGAAGATGTACAAAAGAAGTACTAAATTATTCTGTTTCATGACTATTTTGAAAGACAAGTATTTTAAGTACCATGTGATGTTATTTGTCTCTGATTCCAGAAAGGCTATAACAGAAGAAAACTATTTGGGATAAGGTATTAGACAATTTTCAGTTTAATTTAAAAAAAAACTAATGTAAGGCATAAGGAGAAGTAGTAAAATCTTCTAAAAAGGTATGATTAATCACTAAAGAACCCCACATTTAAAACAAAAGTAGGTAGCCAAAATATGACTTAGAGAATAAACAAGATAGGTATCTCTTACAGGCTCACATTTATGAAATTTAATATTATATAACTCAACAAAGTGGTTCCATCTAACAGGAATGAATAGAAGATGAGAATGAGGATAATGACCACAATGATGGTGATGATGAGGATGGTGAAGATGATAAGGCTGACCATAAAGGTGATGATAGCAACTTTGACAATGTCTATGACAATTATGATGGTGACAATGATAATAATACAATGCTGCTGCTGATAAGCCATAAGAGTTTATATTTCCTAACTAATTGCTGTGCACCACACACATACTGAACCCCTCATACAAACTATCTCATCTTCACAGCAACTTGCTCAAGAAATAGTTTTTATTGTCCCCATTCTATAACTAAGGACATAATTTACCCTCAGCCTTTAGAAAAAGAAAAGTCTTGAATGCATTGGGCTGTAACAACTAAGCAGAGCAAATACCTCTCAGCCTCATAGCTTTTCTTTGTCAGGATACATGTCCATGAAGTGTGAAATATATACATTAACTTCATTTTTTTTCCCCTCAAAGACAAAAGTAGCTGGTGAGCAGTAATCTACCACCCTCTCACAATCAATAACCCCAAGTTGGGAGTTTATTTCCTGACTCACCATCTCAGATCAAACTACCCATTTTCCAATTAGAAATGTTTAGTCTGTGAAGTTAGAAATTGCCACAAGTGAATCAAACTGCCAAGAAAAAGAAATAAGCTTTGGGTTCACTTTTGATGTCAAAAGCAAGAGGCTGGTTTTTCTTGTTCTTCTTTGCAGCTGATCGATGGACCTGTGAAGCAGGGTGTCAGGACAGAGGGTAGGACTGGGCCTCCGGCCCAGAGCTCTTCACATTCAGCCTTCGGAAACACCAAACTGCGCTGCATAGCCACATGTGAATGCGTGGAAGGGAAAATACCAGTCCAGTAAAAGACACGGGTGTGTATTTTTGTAAACTTCATCTTTTCAGCACAAACCAGTTTTCCAATTAAAACTAGAAAGAGCTGAGTTCTAGAACAATCTTTATTAAACAATAAAATGTCAAAAGCTTCCTTCTCAAGCATGGTACAGGGATCATGATAATTCACATAAGCTGGTTCAGACTGGGAAAGTTATGCAGTTGATACATACAGTCAGGAAATAAGATATCTCAAAAATAAACTACCAAACTATAAGTAATTTTAGAAACACTATTTTGGAAACATAGATTGTCCTTTTGTTCTATCTTGTTGGGTAAAAGTCCCGATATACAATCCAACTGAGCAGTACATATGTTTTCTCCATATTTTCTTTATATTTGTCTAAAGGTTTTGGAGAGTAAATATGGATACCATTTTTTTTTCTTTATGCCTTTTCTGAGAGGGGAAAAGTTCAATACATTGTTTCTTCATTTGTCTCTTCTATGCTCAATAATCTAACACTCTAATTCTCTAATTTTTTGGTTTCCAAATAAAAGCAAAATACATTAAAAACATTATTTCAATCAAAGAAGGGAAACATAATGATGATTTGCTTTATTGTAATAGACATTTTGAATATATTTACTGTTCTAAATTGGGTGTTAAGCTAACCTCATCCACTCAGTCTTCATCTTCAAATAACTTTCCTATGATTCCATTTATTAAAATTTTAAATGGAAAATAAATGTTATTTGCATGAACCCCCTGGTGCCAAACTTGATTGCATCCCAGATCATTCACTTAATTATTATGGGAAAAAATCAAAACAGAAAATCAGTATAACTGATTAGCATTGCTAAAGTGCTCCTATTAGAAAGAGGAAGCAGCCTACCGAGTTAACTCTTTCTGCCTTAAACTCTGCTTGGAAGGCAGGCTTGGCTAATTCTTCCACAAAAGGCTCGATAAATAATCAGGTTGAATAAAATCCTTATAATGAATGAGTCTTGGCTCTAATAATAGGCAGAAGTTTCTTTATCCATGTTTTAAGGAGAAATAAATGCTGGGTTGTTGACTAATTTATTTTTGCAACAACAGAGGGATAAATGATTCTAAACAATTCTTTGGGCTCTAACGTTTATTACCTTTCTAGGATCTAATGGTTACATGGAAATAACTGAAGTGCTTGTCACCCAGTTTTCTTCCTCAAGCTTATTGTGTATCTTCTAAGGTCTTCTCACAATCCCCTAAATTAAAACTAATTTCTTGCTTAAGATCAGTCATTTTTCTTCTTAACTCTGGTTTAGAAAAGCTACCTGTGCCAGGCGCCACTAACTCCTGTAATCCTAGCTACTCAGGAGGCTGAGATCTAAGGATCGCAGTTCAAAGCCAGCTCGGGCAGGAAAGGCCATGAGACTTATCTCCAATGAACCACCAGAAAACCGGAAGTGGCACTGTGGCTCAAGTGGTAGAGCACTAGCCTTGAGCTGAAGAGCTGAGAGACAGCGCCCAGGCCCAGACTTCAAGCCCCATGACCAACAAAGAAAAAAAGAAAAGCTGCCTGTTTTTATTTGGTCACTCTGCCAGAGTTTTCTACAACCTACCTATGCCTTCTTTCTCCATAGTCTTCTTCCTCCTAGGGTTTCAAGTCTGTGAGCAAAGTAGGGTGAGCCCAGCTTCAGCGCATTAACATTGTCAAATGATCACCACCTGCTAGTTGCCTAGTGACCAGCCTCAGAGGAGGACTTTCAGTGGAACTATGACTGCTAGCAGAAGGACTCTTTAAGGACGGTGGGTATTTCTATCTTCATCTTCTAAAATATGTGAATCAGCCTTGTGCTAATGAACATGAAAGGGGGACAGTTCTGTTTTGGCTGATGGGTTTTAATCCATGATGAATTGGTCTTGTTACCTGGAGCCTGTGGCAACACGTACCTCATGGCAAGAACACAGGACAGAGGAGACAGCCATGAATATGAGAAAGGAAGTCCCATGCTCTACAAGCCCCTTTATGAGCCTAAAACCTCTGATTAGACCCCACCCCTTAAAGGCTCCATCACCTCTTTTAATAGTGACATTCTGGGCACCAGTCTTTGGGAAATATTTAACATCTAAACAAAAGCACAAGCCTAGCATAATCCATTATCCAAGCCTGACTATTCATTCCAAACATTCTATCTGCTTCTCATGTTCTGTGTGAAGGAACTCAGGTCATTTTGCTAACATCAGATTTGACAGTAAAATATATTCTAAAGCAAATTAATATTTGTTAGTGGCAGCCAAAAATATTCCTAAGGAGGTTCTAAGGATACCGGTATAATTATTTTTTAAAAAGCACTGCCACATCCCATTTAATAAACTTATAATCATCCTATAAACAATTCCCTCCAAATTCCTGTACATCAGCATGCAGTGAGTGTTAAACAGTGTTCCTAGCATTTCTCAGGCTCTTCACACTGAGCAAAAACTAGGGGAGGTACTGGTGATACCAAGCTCTGAGGGAGATGGTACAAACAGCCACAGCAAACAACCATGAACTTTCCAGTACGGCATGATGCGCAAGGTGACAGAGAGCAAAAACGTGGCTCACACCTGTAATCCAAGCTTCTCAGGGGCTGAGATCTGAGCACCATGATTCAAAGGCAGCCCAGGCAGGAAAGTCCATGAGAATCATATCTCCAATAAACCTCCAAAAAACCAGAAGTGGAGCTGTGGCTCAAGAGGTAGAATGGCAGCCTTGAGAAAAACAGCTAAAGGACAGAGTTCAAGCTCCGATACTGGCAGAGAGAGGGGATTGCGTGGGATCATAGAAAGAATCTAACCTCATCTCCTGAATAAGTTAACCCCAGTTATTCTGTAGGTGGTCTAAACAAAAGAAAGATCTATACACAAGAAAATATAGAAGCTACTGTGACATTAAGGTATGATGTCTTCCCTTGTTTAAAATCTCCTAGGGAGAAAATTGGTAAACAAAGTGTGCTTATTTGTCAAATGATTTAATTTAGAAATATCTTGCCAGGAATTTAAAAGGGAATAGAAACCAACACAAGCTGTGTAGCCTCATGATAGGGGTCAGACTTGAACCAATAGTTCATAAAGAAGAGGAGCAAGAAACCCTTGCGTGGCACCTCTTACATATAGAAGGAAGTCTGGATGGAGCGTGCTACACTCAGGTATGAGCTGGAACAACCTACCAAGGGTGGTATCCCAAAAAACACAAAGCAGATGAGCAACCACTGAAAGAGTTAGCAGAACTGAGACAAAAATAAAATTAGGACTTATATCAGTGAGACCTGTATTGAGCAAATGCCATTAAATAATAGGGGTTAAAATCAGGGCTTTTGCTCTATCATTGAAGCCACCACACCTCCACTTCTGGCTTAATTGGAGATAAGAGACTCATGGACTTTCCTGTCCAGGCTGGCTCTGAACCTCAGTCCTCAGATCTCAGCCTCCTGAGTAGCTAGGTATAAGCCATCAGTGCCCAGCCCCAGTTCTGTTTTCTAGATTTAATCTGTCTCCTACTAGGCTAGGAAAATAAGTGTTTTTACAAGAAAAAGTAAACTTGGAACAGTATTTCTCATGAATAAAATTATGTTTACTTCCCTAAACCTCTTACTATTTCCGATACCTCAACACTATCCCCCCTTCTCAGCCGGAAGAATCCTAATTTTCTTGGCCTACAAAAAAGAAAAACTCCTTTACGAAGTTTACTCTTTTTCTTCCTCACCTATGCTCTAATAACTACCAATATATCCTGTTTGTGATTGTGGTGTCCAATATGGGTGCCAATGTTCCCTGCCTGAACAACTCTTCTCACACTGAATGAACTTGGGATAACCAAGGAGAAACTATAGAATGGACAGAGCAGAACTTCCACATCCAGGTCAGAAAAGACCTTCTGGCTTCACGTACTTCTTGGATCTCAATTCCATAGGAGTTATTAGGGCCCTGAAGCAGCCCCCAGGAGAGACAGACAGTGAGCGCCATCTTGGAAGTGAGAGCTCCAGCCCTTGTCAGGCCTTCACATCATTATAGCTTCTGTTCACATTCTGACCCAAACATCAGGAGACTGAACCAGAGTGAAGAGCTAAGTTGCTCCCAAATTCCTGGCCCTCAGAAAAGGTGAGTTAACAGTGTTTGTTGTTTGAAGCACTAGGTTTTGAAGTCTATTCTGCAGAAATGGAAAACCAATGGGACTACACCAAAGTATTTCTATATCAACTACTTTGTTATACTTCCAAATAAAAATGCCCACCTGACAATGCCCACCATTTTGTTGATGTTCTTAATAGGAGTTATACACAAAAGGAGCCATCTGCAATGATTCTGAAATCTTCCCCAAGTATTCCAACTCCTGGCAGCAGCCCATCTTCTTCTAATTACAGTCTGTTATTTTATGCCTAGAGGAATGACCTCACCAGAGCCTCTGTTTTAAGGCGCATCTGCTGTTTTGTTTTGTTTCCACCCTGCCCCAGATTTTCCTGCCATTTACCCTTGACCACTTAGTGTATCTGTCCAGAAAAACTGACCTTCCTCAAGGCAGACTGGAGAACTCCTTCACCTTTCCTGGGCTGCAGGTCAGTCATACACCATTAAAGAATGGGTTCCAAGGTCTTTGTTGAGTTACTTCTTTATCTAAATGTTGTTGTTGTTGTTTTTCAAATAAATGTTCCTTCTATTTTCCTGCATTTGAACTAGTTTTTTATGGTTATCCCTGATTTGACAGTCTATAAACTTAAACTGTAAGAAATCTTAACATCCCACTTTCAGTGATGGGCAATTCATTGGGACAAGAGATAATTCAGCAAAGAAATGGCAGCGTGAAAGCCCAGCCTAGATGAGCCTAACATGTATGTATGGAATATTCCATTCAATAGCTGCAGGTCACACATTCTGCACCTCAAAGAAATCAAGAAACAAAAGAAGACAAACACAAAGCTAGAGGAGAGATATAGTAAAGATGAGAGCAACAATAAATTAAATAGGCTTGAAACACAATAGAAACAATCAGTGAAACAAGAACTAATTGTTCAAATAGATAAACAAAATGAACAGACCTTTAACTAAACTAAGGGGGGAAAAAGCATTCAAAAACATAAAATCAGACAAAAAAAAAAAGAGTTGTTAAACGTATACCACAGAAATACTAAATATCCATGAAAACCGTGGAAAGCTTACATGAACAAATTTGATAATCTGAAGGAAATGGAGAAATTCCTAGACACAAAGGTTATACCAAATTGAACTATGAAGAAATGGAAAATCTGAACAGACCTATAATGTACAATAAGATTCAATCACTAATAAAAAGTCTCATCAAAGAAGCCTAGGACCAGAGAACTCCACTGCTATCTGAAATCTGATATAACATTTGAAAGCCTAATAATAATCTTTACTTATTCCAAAAAAGATAAAAGTGAGAAAATTGTTTCAAACTCATTTTATGAGGCAAGAATCACTTTATACCAAAACCAGAGAAGGCCCTAACAAAAAAATAAAAAAATAAAGCTATAGGTTAATATTCCTGAAGAATGCAGATGCAAAAATTCACAAAAAATTATACCAAGTCACATTAAAAAGACTATTCACTCTTGTTTCAAAGACTTATGCCTGTAATTTTGCTACTTAGGAGGTTGAGATCTGAAGATCATGGTTCAAAGCCACTATGGGCAGACACATCCATCAAACTCTTATTTCCAATTAACCATCAAAAAAGCTGAAAGTAGAGCTGTGGCTCAAAAGGTAAAGCACCAACTTTGAATAAAAAATCTCAAGGATGATAATCAACTCTCTGAGTTCAATTCCCAGTACCAGCACAAAAAAGTTTTTTAAAAAAGATTCTTCACTACAATCAGAAGGGATTTATTCCAGTGATACAAGGATTCAAATCAATATGCATTATACACATGCTAAAAGAAAATACATCAAATCAACAGAATGGGAAAAAACTATATGTATATCTTAAAAATATAGAAAACTTATTTGACAAAATTAAACATTCCTTTATGATAAAAAAAAACTATGAACAAATTAGGTTTAGAAGGAATTCCTCTCAATTTAACAAAACTCATATATAAAAAGCCAACAACTGACATCATACTGAAATATTAAAGAGTTTCTCACTTAAGATCTAGAATAAGACGATTATATCCACTTTCACCACTTTTATTCAACTTAGTACTAGAGTCCTAGTCAAAGAAATCAGGCAGGAGAAAATTTTTTAAATGGCATCCAAATGAAAAAATGGGAAGTCAGATCATCACAGTTTGCAGTTGCTATGATTTTATTGAGAGAGATCCAAAGATTCCCTAAAAAAAAACTATTATACCAATTTTAGCAAATCTGTTGGATCCAAAATCAACATATAAAAGCATAGTGCTGCTGCTGGGGTTTTTTTTGGGGGGTGTGTATGTGTGTATGTACGGGTTTTTTTTGTTTGTTTGTTTGTTTTGGCCAGTTCTGGGACTTGAACTCTGGGCCTGGATACTGTCTGAGCT